GACGGTTCATGCCATGTTACTACTGCAAGTTTGGATGGAGAGACCAACCTTAAGGTCTGGGTTGCTGCTGTGAAATACAATGTAGTTAATTTGCCATGCCATTTTCATTTCAGCCTGTGAATTACCCCCCCCCCCGCCTGGTAGGTCTGTGTCGTTGACTTAATGAACTCTGTTTTACAGACACATGTTGCAGTCCCAGAAACAGCAGTGTTACAGTCCGTTGCCAACCTGGACAAACTTGTAGCTGTTATAGAATGTCAGCAGCCAGAAGCAGATCTGTACAGGTATCACTTTATTAGTAAATATTTTGAAACTAAATCAAAATGGAGTGTTTAATATTAGGAATGTTATGGGTCTTGCTGGAATTAAAATAGCTTCAGATAGGTGCTTAAATTAATGTGTCTATACACATACACTTAAAGTTGCAAGTGACAAGTTAAATTTGAGTATTTCAGTAGTAAACCAGAAATTATAGGATAATATTTAGCTTTTGTATTTTAATCATGGCACTTATCTACATTTCCGTTCTAACCAATAAGCTTGTTTTCAGACTTTAAAAATTACATGGCCTTTGAGTATGAGCCGGTTGGAGAAAGAGTTGTATGAGGTTCTGCCAGGAGTTTTCAGTACTATATAGTATATGTATTTTTAATGGAATTAACTCAAACCGTAGCAAATTTTGTAAGCTTATATTAATTCTTGGGATACATGTTGGTCACATCTGTTTTGCTTATGCTCAAGAGAAGATTTGAATTCCATTCTTCAACAGCAAAAATTTAGATTAAAAGCAGTTGTATCTGAGTGTGCTTCATTTCAGCTTTTAACATCAGCAAGCAATGTCCTAGACTCTATAAACCAGCATCATAGGTAACAAAAGTTATATTCCCATCCACGTTTCTCCTGAATTGTATAATGGAATATGGTAGCTATACTTGGGTTTTGAAAACTGCTACTTGATATCACAGCAGTTATTCTTAAGTAAGCTTTCAGATCTTTAAGAAATATTAAATTCTTAAAAATTAAGATACTTAGTTTGAACAGCTTTTCAGATATTTGATCTTTAGTTCAGTTTGTAGAGAACATCAAGTTAAGGTACATTAACTATAGAAGTTTGTCCCTGTTTGTAGCTGGGGTCGTGCTAAATATGCAAGTGTCAGATTTTAAAAGCAGAGTAGATTGGCTTTACTAAATGAAAAATTACTGTTTCTGATGGATAATATGCTAGCTTATATTTGTTGAGGAATTATTTCTTACTGAAACATCAAAAAGTCACAATCTTTTAACTGAGTAAGAAATATAACGTTTTGTGGTTTTATTAATGAAACCTAATAGGCTTTCTCAAATGACTTTCTTTTGAAGGATAAATGTTTCTGTTGTTAAATCTCTATTGTAAAATTATTGTCAGTGGGGCCATGTTGGTTTTGTTTGTTAATAAAAGTCCATTATTTTGTACTTGTGAACCTTAATAACTTTTCGAAAAATATGGAGGTTTTTTACATTTTTGAGTCTTTATGTAGATATTTCTAACACATGGCTGTCTGTCATAGATTTGTTGGAAGAATAACTGTAAGTCAACAAACTGAAGAAATCGTACGGTAAGCAAAATTTTCTAAGATTAATGTTTAGAACTGATGGAGGTGGTTAAAATCATGACCATAATGAAAAAGAGTTACTGTTGAATGTACAAAAGGGAGGGGTATTTTTACTGAAAGTATCAATTGTAGCTGCGTATTTCAAATGGAGGTGAGAAAAAATTAGTGAAAGGAAGTTCATTACTACACAGTTTTTCAGATTTAATGACACAGTTCTGGAAAGCTCAGCTGTTCTGAAAGGGGTAATTTTTAGGCATGGGTAGTCAGCTGGTAACTTTGTTGCTATTTGTTATTTAAAACATTTCTTGATCTTAAACATTTTTCCAGTGGCCTGTTATGTAAACTACAACAGATCCCCTATCATCTGTTTATCAGAGGCACTGAGCAGGTGTTCCTGCAGCTGAAATTCCTAGAAATTATAGGTCTGTTTTAACAAAGCCTCTGCTACAAATTTGTAGTTTTTAGTATATATTTCAAACTACTGTACTACTTGGACTGCAAAGATAAGTGCTTACATCTGTAATAGTCAGCACATAATTGTGTGCACGTAAAGCTGTGTGCACATAATCACGTGCTCACAACCTTCCTCTGTGCAGTCATCGCCAGTAGCATACACCTAAACACATGTGAAATATAAAAATAAAGATGGGAAGCCACTTACAGACCTACACGTGGACCTCCTCAAAAGTTTGCTAATTGTGGTGGGTTGGCCCCAGCTAGCGGCCAAGCGTCTTTACAGCTGATCATTCACTTCCCCCCACCACAGCAGGACAGGAAAGAAAATAGGAAGAACAGGAGTGAGACGGGCAAGTAACTCATAAGAAATGACCAGATTTTCAGGAATATTTAGCATGCAAGTTATTTAATAGTTTTCTCTTGAGACTTGTTGATAATAAAGCTTTCAAAAAAATTGGTCACCTCTTCTGAAAATATGAAGTGCTGTGTTATGGTGTATAAATGTGTCACAGATAGGGAAATCTGTTACTATTCTTTCACTCTTCTAATGTCCAAACTGTTATCCTTTATACTTTTTCCAAAGTGAAATTTCTACCTGAATCAAATCTTAAAGCAGTATTATTTTCCATGTAATGTGTGTCTTCAGTCTGAAGAACTGAAAGTGTTTTCAGACTGAAAGTCCCAGACTGAAAGTCTCGGAATCCATCCTTCACCTGAAAATGCCCCAAAATATTTGAATGAGGAGCTCAGCGTTTCACTCCCGGTGCTAACCGATGGGCAGGCACCGGCACAGCCAGCGCTCGCCTCTCCCCAGGCACACGGCCCAGAGACATATTGCAGAAGTGGCCCACACGGCCTGCTCGGGAGGAGGTGTCCCTGATTGACGGTTGTCTTGAAGACAAATGCCTTCGCACCCCTCTGGGATAACGGCTTTCAGCTTTCAATCTGAGAGCCTCCTATGAAGCTCTGTCAATCTGCCAGTTTTAGATAGGAGTAACATGGAGTTCAGAATGATCTGCAGAATGAATCAATGATTTGTCAATGGTTTTCTAAGAAATACGGGAATGTAGAAGGCAGATCACTTGGCTCCAAGTCCAATGCCTTAGCAATCCCCACAAAAAAAACCCACCCAAACCCCCCAAAAACCCACTGAGCTCTTTTCTAAGATTGTTTCATGTGCTACTTCACTTAGAGCTTTTCATAATCCATTACTGCCAAGCTTGACAGGTTCAGCTTTGGGATAACCTATCAAAATAATTTAGTTGACAACAGAGCCAGTTTAAAGGGAGCATGAAAAATAATTGCAAGGTCTGACTACTGGTGGAGCTGTATCTTCTAACTGTCAAAAGATAAACTTGTCTGGTCTGTGTTGCACTGATTCAGATTTTGTGTTTTGGTTTTACAAACTGCAAAAAATGTTTGAATCCAGAAATATAAATTACATTTCGTATAAGAAAATGTTAAATGCTTAAGCATGTAGTCCCTTTTAGTTCCATTTTTCAGTTAAAAGTGTGTCTAGCCTGAAATATTAACGTATGTATGTGTCGTTTAAAGAACCTATTGGTAACTGTCACATTTGCAGTAATATTTAAGTTAAATGTTTCACTGTGGGAGGTGGGGTGAATTTGGGGTGGGTTTTTTGAGTAACTGTGTTACGCTTTTGAAGGAACTTCAAGTATAAGAGTTTTGTTTATACAATAGTGTTTATGGACTGCTTGTGGTACAGCTAATGGAAAAGTAAGACAAACCCAAGGCCTTGTATGCCATGGCGCCTGGCGTATGATCTTTAATTCTTTTGCTTCTACCTGGTATGTCAACCTGGCCACTGCAATTGTTCGGTTTCTGCTTTCACTTGAAACACTGGCAAAAATAGTGAATGCACCTTTTTTTTTTTCTTCTTTATTTCAAACCAGCCCTTCTGGCAGTTTCTAAAGATGATACAGCCTCTGGAGTAGAACGTATGGCTGTAACCGTACATGATCCTTGATTCTAACTGGACCTTTATTTTCACAGCACTGTTAACTTAGTCAGTGAAATGAATCTATATGGTGGTATTATGAAATTTCACTGTCGTGTTAGGAAGCAGAACTTGGACTGTTGTGGTGTGTTCATCTAGTTTGTCTTTGATTCTCTGGTATGAATAGCTTTTTAACTTGCTAGATCATTTCAGTTTGACAGAGGGGTAGAAGTAAGATAGGTAAAATAGCCAAACCTGAAACAGCACTCTTGTTGCACTGTGAGCTCCACAGATTTTTTGCCTGCTGGCTTCTCACGTAACTTGCAGGTCTCTCTGAACCAGCCATTTGGTCTATTTGGCTGAGTCATTAATTCTGGGATATTGAGCAGTGGTGGGAGAGTATGGCAGTGACCAAAGGAGACATGAAAGAAAGCTGAGAGCTCTGCAGATGTGTGGGTGGGTGTGGTGAAAGGGGTAAGAGGGTTGAAGATGGACCTAAGCGAGGGTGGGGATTGGAGTTGTTGCAGTGGAATTTCATAGGGGAGATAGGACAACTTTGCATAGGATGCTCGATTTCACTCATCCTACAGAATACAGAACAACTAATTTTTAAATGCTGATATGTCTGTTTCTTTTTAGACCTCTTGGGCCTGAAAGTCTCTTACTTCGTGGAGCAAGATTAAAAAACACTAAAGAAATATTTGGTTTGTAGATATCTAAATACTTAAAGAGTATTCTCTTCTTAAAACATGTTGGTGAACTGTGGTTTAATTCTACTTGCACTGAAGAAATTGTAATAATCTTACTGACTGTTACCCGAGGGGATATAATTATAGATGAAAGTAATGATATGCTGGAGAATCTCTAAGGATATAAAGTTCCAGCTCCACTCCGTGAAAATATTTGAAGTGGTTTGATAAAGGAATAACTTAACTTCAATGGATAAATGACTGTTGTTACTGTTATCCATTATTCAAGACTTTCTCCTGAGATTTACCACTCTGATTTCCATAAAATACATATTGAAGAGCAATACAGTCATAATAATTAACTTTCAGTAGGTGTTAAAATTACTTCAGTAGAGCTACTTTACTATAGCAGAATATTGCAAATAATTACAAAATACTGTTTCACTGTTGTACTGAAGTAAACACAACAGTAATATCACGACTTGATTTTATCCTATGTTTCTTAAAAGGAAAAATTCTGAAAGTTGTATGTATGCAGAAAATAAAGTATAACTCTTCCCCTCCCCTTCCTTCCCAGGTGTTGCAGTGTATACAGGTATGGAGACAAAGATGGCATTAAATTACAAGAGTAAATCTCAGAAACGGTCAGCAGTAGAAAAGTATGTTTATTTTCTAATATCTTTCTTATTTGTAGAGTTTTAACTTAGTTTTTCCTCAGTAACTTTAAAACCCTGATGACCTCTTCACTGGGTTGTAGGCAAAGGAAGAGAGTGTAATTGCTCTGCCTTCAGTAGGAAGCTATAAATATAAAATCTGTTTCTTGGTATTTCATCCTTTATTAATTCTTTCAGTAGTGTGCAAAGTTGAAGTACCCAAGCTTAAAAAGGCCTAAAGCAGAAGTTAGTTTGGGAGGTTTGTTTTTGAGATTTAATGATAGGTGAAATGGTGCTTGAACCAGATGCTCAGAGATAGTTTTCACAACAGTCCCAGCCTCTGCTGTTTTCTGCATCCTTTACTGTAAAACTGCAGATATGTTTTGTAATGAGTCTTGCTTCTAGCACAAGTCACAGGCTTAGTTTTAAAAATCTTCACTCACAGTTACAGGACAGGTATTACAATAATAGACATTATATGTTGAACCTTTTGAATTATTTTAAAGGGAAGAGGAGTTCTGATGTGTTGCCTTTACTCAGGTAACTAAAAATCTGAGAGAGCCTCCTCGCGTTCTTGTGTAAACATGGGATTGATCATTCTTCTATAGCCAGATACAAACAGAACTGTAGACTGCACCAGAAAAGTTCAGTCATCAAAGTAAGGGGTGGAAAGATGGTCTAGCTAGCCTTACAGAGTATAGAGGCAAGTTTGACTATATCCTGGTATAGAATGGGATTAAATGATCAGATGCACGTGGTAGTGCTCTTCTAACTGAAGAAAAAGATGCAGCCTTGGATTTCCACTGTCATTGTTTGTGCTGCCTTCACAACCTTGCTAGATAGTCGAGGAAGAGAAGAGTAAGTCAGCCCCCAGAATCTTGTACAACAGGTGTGACACAAGTCACCTGTTGGGGTATTGTTGCACCTAAATCTAGTCTTCCTGTTGCTATATGTAGAGTATATCGTAGATGTAGAATTGATTTTTCACTTCTTTTGCTTGCGTGTCACATAGAAACTTTATACTCATATCAAACACAGGATACAACTTAAAAAAAATTGTCCAGGAAGTTTTTGATCAATTCATGTAACCACAGTGTGTCAACAGATTAGGTAGAATAAACTGAAGTTGCCTTTTTTTTTTTTTCCCCTCTTTGTAGGTCCATGAATTCCTTTTTGATTATTTATCTAATAATCCTCCTCTTTGAAGCCATTCTGAGCACTATTTTAAAATATGCATGGCAAGCTGAAGAAAAATGGGATGAGCCTTGGTATAATGAAAAAACGGAGCATGAAAGAAACAGCAGTAAGGTAATGTAGCTCTACCCAGTTGCATATCTGAGGAACGTTCAACCACTATATACTGAATGTGATATTTATTATGTCTCTGTTCCTGGATACAGGTGTTACTACCACATGATCCACTTGAATCTGTGTGTTGTCTCAGTATTTTTGAGAGCTGTTCCTATGTAGCCTCACCCTTGAGGAGAAGTATTTCACCTCTTGTTACTGGTTGGACTTTTTTCCTTCATGAAAAGACCAAGCTTTTTGAAAATTTTGAGTTTTGTTAGAACTTATTTCTGATGTTCCGTGTTCTTGTTACAGTTCTTGTTCTTTTGGGTGTCTTTTGTCATTCCTTAAATGAAAAGAGGAGGAGGGTGGCTCTTCTTGTGCACGTTCCATTGCAGTGATTTCACAGTTCAGGCATTTTGGACATTCTGTGATGTTGAGATTGTTCAGACAGTTTTGTAAGGCTGTAATTTTGCTCAAGCTCCTGCTTGCCTTCTCACTTTCCTGTAGAGATTAGGTGCATACTTTGAAGCGTTCCTTAAGTCTGCAGTTCTGAGAAGTGTCGTTTTTTTTAATCATTCTGATTTTTCTGTGTTCTGTTTGATTTTTTGATTCTGTACGAGTCTGCCTTCTTCCAAAGCAGTTCAGGAGCTGGCTGAAGCTGATGCTAAGAAGCAGAGGGGATTTTCAAAGCACAGAAGAATTGGAAAGCTAGTTTGCATACGTGATGTGGTGTCGGATATTTGACACTCACACCCCCTCACAACCTCCCCACCTCCCAGAGAGCTGAGAATTGAATGCTCTTACTAGGTGCTGTGTGTGCAAAAAGGTCCAAATTCCAAGTCAGGAGTGTTCTCTTCTGCTTCACAAATAGAGGCAAAGTTGCAGTTAGTACGTAGTGATTCAGGAAGGAAGAAGCAGTAATTTGAGAATGTCTTTGATTCAAGGAGAGTTAAGAGTTTACAGGCATTTCAGAAGAACATGCAACTTTCTCAGAAGCTTGTCATGCAAAGTGATTTTGTGGTTTAACTGGGAAAATATCTTTATCTCAATGCTGTGTTTCATTTAAAACTACTAATTCAAGTTATCACTACAGTTACCGAAAACTTTTTTGTGCAGTGAATTACTGCTCTCAGTCTTTATCTGTCTTTTCTGGTTTAGTTTGGAAGATCTCTTAAGGCATAGAACTTCCTGAGTTTTTGTCAGACACCTTAATTATTGGTACTGATTTTAATTATAGCAACACTCCCTAATTAGGAAGAACAGACGTTATTTAGCTTTGCAAACTGTTGACTACTTTTATACTCCCTTTCTTCAAAATGTTCTCCTACACCAATATCTAGTAGAGTTGAAAGAGATGTCCCAGTTCTCTCGTCTCTAATCTTCCTTGCTCAATATTCAGGTGGTGTTAAGAGCCTTCCCAAGGTACAGTTTAGATACTGAGTTTGTGCAAATGAAAAAGACTTCAAAGAGACCGTAATGTTGCATTTCAGAATTCGTTAAAATTGTCATACTGGATAAAGAGAGATTTCTAACCTATTGCATAGCTATTTACCTGAAACATATGTGTTAAACACAGCGATTTGAAGAGGCATAGGAGTCTGTGCTATTGAAATCCACACGGTCTCTTTCTTGTCACGTAGTCTGGATCACCCACGTCACTGGGGAGTGCCAGTAGGCAGGAACCCTCTTGTCGCTCTGCTGTCCTAAGCCAATACTTGCAGATTCCTCTGACAAAGGGGAATATCAGTTGTTTGCCTTCACCATTTATGGTTCCTTTGAAAAACCTGTGAATGGTGCTGTTTGATGGAATAGGGAGCATGTTAGTTTTTTCAGACCCGAGTCTTTGAAGGGGCCTGTTTGAAAACAGAATCTCCACAACAGTTAATATTAATTGTCAGCCCTCCTGACAAATCCAGTAGAAAGGACAAAAATTAATGAACTTGAGAATTAAAACATCCAGTCATAGCTTAAGGCAGTCTTTTTGCATCAGTCTGGAGGCGCGTTACTGGGGCAACCTGGCAATGCCTGCGTTGTCTTGTGTGTGTTGTCTCTCTCGTGTACGTGGGACCTGGTCTCCTCCAGCTCTGTCAATTTGTCATTCTTTGTACATATTGAAATGTAACTAAGTAACCAGGTTTCACCTGATCACTGCAGTAATCTTTACATTTTCTCTTTTTGTTTTGTAGATTCTGAGATTTATTTCAGATTTTCTTGCTTTTCTGGTACTTTACAATTTTATCATACCTATTTCACTTTATGTGACTGTTGAGATGCAAAAATTTCTTGGATCTTTTTTTATTGGCTGGGATCTTGACCTGTATCACAAAGAAACAAACCAGAGAGCACAAGTAAATACTTCAGACCTTAATGAGGAATTGGGACAGGTAGAGTAAAAAATTTGTTTTTTGTTTCTTTTTTAAAATCTTTTATTTTCTACTTCTTTCTTAATATTAAAATTCATTACTGCAGACGTTTTATTGGTTGCGCTTTGGTTTCTGATTAATTTAGAAATAAGGTATAAATACCTGATGGCAGAAATTAAAATTTTTACATGATCAAAAAAAGATGTGTAGTGGAGAGTCTTGATTTGAGATGATGTTTATTTTTTACTTCTAACCAATACAAAGTCTGTTTTTCGTTTTATTTTACAAAAGGTAGAGTATGTGTTTACAGACAAAACTGGTACATTAACTGAAAATGAGATGCAGTTTCGGGAGTGCTCCATTAATGGCGTAAAGTACCAAGAGGTCAACGGTAAACTAACTCCAGAGGGGTTTTCTGAAGATTCTCCAGATGGAAATAGGCATAGTTTGGTAAGACTTCCCCCCCGCTGCCCCTGCCTCCCCACCATTAGGCATCCTAGATAGAAAGTGTTTTGTTTCAGAGAATTAGTCTTCTAGCATTAGCATATTTTAAAAAAAAAGAAAGAATTTCTGAGTAGTTTGAAGCTATTAAGTGTTACTGAACAAATAGTATTTATTAAAAATATTGAGATGTGATTATTTAACATGGAATACTTGGCAGATTTTTAAGTAAAAACCTTTTTTTTAAGTATATTCGAAACTTGGTTGATAAATGAATGTTACAAATAAAGTTATTTCTTTCTTACAGATGAAAGAGGAAGAACTGTTCTTGAAAGCAGTTTGTCTTTGTCATACAGTGCAGATCAATGCAGATCAAACAGATGGTGCTGATGGTCCCTGGCATGCCAATGGAATGGCATCCCCCTTGGAGTATTATGCTTCTTCACCAGATGAGAAAGCTTTAGTTGAAGCTGCAAGCCGGTGAGTTGTACTGCCAAAACTCTCTAATGTAGAAATTGCCTACTAGGGCAGGCAATTCACAGTAAAAGCAAGCTTAAAAACGGCTCAGAAAGATTGTAAAGCCCAGGGCCTGCACTGTCAGTTTACTATGAAAACATACAAAAATAAAATACACAAAAACCTAGGCATATAATAAAGTGATGATTTAAAATATTTATGGAAATTCTTGAGAATTTATAGTGGGCAGCATATATTGCTATGAAAATATTGTAGAAAGTGGGCATTCATTTCCTCTAGAAATAGAGAGCAGTGATGAGGTATAAGATCCCTCTTTTCTTTTCTCCCCCACCCCCCAATCAATAGGCATTATGTCTAAAGTGATGACTAAATGTCTGTTTTCTTTTCCTTTTAGGGTTGGAGTTGTATTTACTGGAACTAGTGGGGACAGTATGGAAGTAAAAAGTCTCGGAAAACCAGAGAGGTACTCGTTTTTATTCCTTGTTTCTTTTGCAGGACAGAACAGCAGTGAAGATTAGTGTAATACTTTCTTAATCCTCACTGTTCATAAGAAAACCTTGCCTTTCCACAGCGTGCTCTTTTTAATGCTTTTCCCTTGATGTCTTCAAGACAGCTTGCATCTTATTCCTTACCAATGGAAACTGAGATGCAAGAATTTTGTGTGAGTTACTCTGTGTAGATGTGTATTATAAATTTTTTTTTTGTCTTTGTCCATTCCTCAAAGGTTGAGACTGTAGTAGAGTTGCAAAACTGGGTGGCTTATTCAGCTTTTACAGTTTGCGATTTGAGCTCTTAAGTTCCCAGAATCAGTTTCATGTATGCATGATCTAAAATCATATTTTAAATTGTCCCCGAATGAGTAGAAATATTATTGATGACTGTGTATCTGCAGTATGTCATAACACCTTTTAGCTATTTGGTCTGTGTCAGTTAGTTGGCAGAACTTTAAACATAATGTCTAAAATTAATTTTCTAGATTAGTGTAACTTAACAAAAAATAGTCCAGGTATCAGGGACATGCATTCTTGTTTAACTGTGTAGATTGTTTACAAGTGTTAGAAACAAAATGTAGTTTTCAAAGTTACATTTGAAGTAATGATAGAAGGACAAAGGATTGTCATCTCCAGATGTAAAGCTAGGATTAAGGAGACTATTCCTGTTGGTCGAAGAACCTTTTATTCTTGTAGAATGGAATTAAATATATAGATAAAGTGACGAAAAGCAGTCAATTTGCACAAACACCGATAACAGAGATTGTTCCTCAATGGTGGTAGCATTACTTCTAGAGTTTCTGTATAAAAATTACACGTTGGGGAAAGCTCTTGCCTTTGGAAATCTATGTCTAAGAATTTTTTCTTCCCCCTCCCTCCTCTATTAAAACACAAAATACAGGTATAAATTGCTTCATGTTTTGGAGTTTGATCCAAATCGCAGACGAATGAGTGTCATTGTAGAGAGTCCCTCAGGTAAGTGATCAGAAGTTGCACAAGCTGCAGTTGAGAACTCCTTAAATAGTATATAACCTTAATTTCTGTTCTATTTTACTTTTTAGGGGAAAAGCTTTTATTCACAAAGGGAGCAGAATCTTCTGTTCTTCCTCGTAGTAAGAGTGGAGAAATAGACAAAACAAGGATACATGTGGATGAATTTGCGTTGGTAAGTGTATATACTTGCCCAGCTAATCGGAAGAAAATTCTGTGACTTGAAATGAACAAGTTGCAGGTGACGCCTTCTTGTTAGTTCAGAATCTTGTCTGCTCTGAATGTAGTCTTTTATTTTCTCACAGAAAGGACTGAGAACTTTATGCGTAGCCTACAGAAGATTCACACCTGAGGAGTATCAAGAAATTAGCAAACGCCTTCATGAGGCCAGGACTGCCTTACAACAACGGGAAGAAAGATTAGCAGATGTATTCAACTTCATAGAAAGGGATCTGGAGTTACTTGGGGCTACGGGGGTAGAAGACAAGTATGCAATGGAGTTTCTGCTAACTACACTCAAAAACATGTTTAGGATTTATAACAGATATGAAGTATGCCGTGAGAAGTCTTCTGCCACGACCAAAAGTTCTGTGCTGTGCTTGTTTAGTGTGTTTACTGCTCTTTGGATTGAGGAGCGTTCAAAACACATGTAGTACCAACTGATTTTGGCTTAATATCGATGGCATACGGTGTGCTTCATCAGGAGAGATTTAAAGTCTGTGAAATGCAATAATTGCAGTAAATATTTAGGGTAACGGCTAATTCCTTGGGAAAGCTTCTATACATAGCTACTTTGCAAAGCATTCTGCTTGCGTGGCATGTGCTCTGTAAGTAAGAGAGTGTATTGTACACTGGAGTGTACAGATGGAGCACTTAGAGAAGCTTTTCATGAACCACAGTAGATAGTAATTGCTGTGGACTGTTCTAAAGCTTCTCAAATGCAGCAGTGGTGCCTAATTTAAATTAAGATATGCTTATTACAAATTTTTGATCATTTAGCAGGATTGAAGTTCAGTTCTTGTTTCATCAAGGCCTTTGTTTTATTGCTAGTAACAAAATGTTACCTGCCAGACTCTGATTCTCTGAAAATATGAGTGCATTGGAAGTGCAGTCTTAAATCATCATGACAGTGGGGTTACAGGAGTAACATGGAGTTACAGTGTGAGCTCTTTTTTGTAAAGCGTTTACTTGGTTATTTAAGATTTTTCTTGTTTCTAGACTGCAGGAAAAAGTCCAAGAAACTGTAGAAGCGCTCAGATTGGCTGGTATCAAAGTGTGGGTACTCACTGGAGATAAGCACGAAACGGCTGTTAGTGTCAGTTTGTCATGTGGACACTTTCATAGAACCATGAACATCCTTGAGCTTGTGCAACACAAGTCAGACAGTACATGTGCAGAACAACTGAGGCAGCTAGCCAAGAGGTAAAATACCTGAGATATCATTATCTCAGTGATGATCTTAGCTTGGTTTTCTATTTTCAGATTTTATGACAATCTCTTTGATGTATGTGCCGAACACATGAAGTTGCCTTTTTAAAAGAAAATATTTATCAATGTAATAACAGCCTTGAAGAAGCAGTCTGTCTAACAGGTTAAATGCTTTGTTTATTGTATGGGCAACCTCATAGTTCGTAACAAAATTTAAATTTTTCTGTCACACCGATACAAAACCAACATTTTTGTCCCTGCATAGAATAAAGGAGGACCATGTTATCCAGCATGGACTGGTTGTGGATGGGACCAGCCTTTCTCTTGCACTCAGGGAACATGAAAAACTGTTCATGGAAGTTTGCAAAAACTGTTCTGCAGTGTTGTGCTGTCGCATGGCACCCCTTCAGAAAGCAAAGGTAAGCGAGAGTATAATCAGGATTGTCTTGTAAAAAATTTTTTTCATGTTTTGGGGAGGCAAGGATTTATGGAACTGCTTTGTCTGTTTGCCTGACCTTTTCTGTGACTTTTGAATCCTTCTTAAATTCTGTTGATCTGGAGTGTTTTGCTCAGAGGTTTCTACATGCGTGTTTGAAAATTTGCAGGTGGATAGAGAGAGTCAAAATACTGCCACTGTGCAAGAAGGCTAATCTTTAATCAGCCTCTTGAGTGTTCTGTAAGGCAGTAGCTATCCTGATCACCTGTGTGCTTTTGCATTCCCTGCTCATCACTTCTCCAAAACAAAAAATTTAAGTTGCAAGTTCGTGAAGCTGTAAGGAAGAAATGTACATCTCTAAAGATTTAAAAAATACATATTTGAAGAGGAAGTAGAAGGGAAGGAAAGCTGAGGCCTTGTCTCCAGGGGAAGCTTGCCTTAATGTTCTCTTCTAAGACCATTTTTACTTCACATATACTTAATTTTATTCAAATACTTTTACTTGGTGCTTTATCATACAAAACAGTCAAATTAAGAGTTTTAAAAGAGCATCTAAATAAGAACAGCAAAATAAGCTTAAGGCAGGCATAATATTTAATTAAGGGTTGTGCCCGAAAGCAAGCAGCTTTTCTTAAAGGAGCAGTGAATTTGCCTGTGTGATATGCAAAGCTGTTTGTTTTTTTTTACCCAAGCGTGCACATTCATAAAACATCTTAATTATACTTACAGGTCAATAACTAAGATACTTGGGAATTAGTGGCATGGTTTATAGGTAGACTATTTGTCTAATGTGAAAAATTTCTGCCCTTTTTTTTTTTTTTTCTTCAGGTAGTGCGACTGTTAAAAACATCTCCAGAGAAACCTATAACATTAGCGATCGGTGATGGTGCTAATGATGTGAGCATGATACAAGAAGCACATGTTGGCATAGGTAACTTCCTTTTAGAAGAGATAAAGGCAAATAAGATTCAAGTTTTAGTAGAGGATTAGATCACGAATAGCGTTTAAAGCAGCTAAACTTCTAACGTCTTTGCACCTGTGAATGACTGGGTGTTAATCTGAGTCATCTGTTATAGGAAGTTTTAGTGAAATTTAAAATTTAAGGCTGTTGGCTTTCACAAGTCTTAGGTTTATTGTGTAGTCTACTAATGGTGCTTTAAGAACAGCAAAGATTCTCTGTAGCTAGAATCTCAGAAGTACTCTGCTTCAGATTATTGGAACTGGATATCTCTAACTTCAGACTTTGTCAGGTTCTAAGTTCCTGTGTAAACTTGATCTTTAAACCTTTCTTTGCGCTAAACCGCTGTTTGCACCGCATCTGTTCACTGTAGAGATGCCATTTGCGTCTAGTTTGTCTTTGAGGAGAAGACTTTCATTATCTCTCTTGAGAGACAGGTACTGATTCTCAGCTAAGCTTGGTAGTTTTCTCTGTTCATGATGTTTTCTGTGATCTGGCCAGGACCTTTAAGCTTTTTATTTTTTTCTCCTGTGTAATGTAACTGAGTACAAAACATACATCTAACCGAGCTGGTACCCGTCACGTACTGTTCTGTTATTTCCTTTACTGACTTTATTGGGTGGTGTTTGTTACAATAGTAAATGCTGAAAGTTCTTACATACGGTATTGGTCCATCGGGATATTCAGTCGCCCTTTGTGTTTAAAAAGGTGTATGTAACGTTCATCTTGTAAATCATGTGGCCGTGACTTTTAAGACAATGAGTATAGCCTGCTTGAGAAGGTTACAAGCCAGTAGCAAGTGATACTTTATTCCACAGGTAGTTTGGCAACTAACCAAAGCTTATAAAAAATAACATTTGTAATTTGTAGCACGTTAGACATTACGTGTACACTCATCAGAACTAGCAAGTCTTTGCTATCAGGGGTGATGGGACTTTTAGGCTTTTTTTTTTTTCTTTTTTCAAAAGCAACCAGCACTTTTAAGTGTCTGGTTTTCAGGAATCCTGGGCCACTTTTCTTCTGTAAAAGAGCATTTTGTGTTCTCTATGTGTGCTTATCGTAATCTTAATAGTAGTATTTAGCAATGAATTTGTGTTCAGCTGTGACAAGTGACAAGCATTGTCCAGCCCATCAGATTAAGTAAACTGCTATTGTAAGAACACAGCATTTCTTTCATTCTGCTGTTCAGTATAGGTTATATATGATTCCCAGAGAGTACTGTAAGAAATACCTCTCTGGAATAAAACATACAAAGTAAATTGATAATTGATGATGGATTGATAATGGTTTGCTTGGTTTGGGAATTTTGGTTTCGTATGAGTGTTATTTCTATGTCTTCCCATAAATCTTTTCGTAAGCATAGCTTACAGAAGTAGTAGCTTTTACTTTTTTTTTTTTTTCATTGACTTGGCATCAAATGAGCAGTTTCCCTTAGTTGTGAGTGTCAGGAATAAAGCCTTCTTTTGGAACTGAAAGATGCTGAAGTCTTTGTAAAGTTAAAGGGCAGGAAAACAGAACTGTAGCTTCAGGTATGTGTTGTTGGTTTGTTGGTCTTTTTAAACTTCATTTTTTATAATGTTTAACCTATTTTCTGTTTGTTTTTGTTTTTTTTCCCCCAAATATTACAGGAATCATGGGCAAGGAAGGAAGACAAGCTGTAAGAAACAGTGACTATGCAATAGCACGGTTCAAATTCCTCTCCAAGTTGCTTTTTGTTCATGGGCACTTTTACTATATTAGAATAGCAACCCTTGTACAGTACTTTTTTTATAAGGTAGGTCTTCAAAGAGTGCCAGTGACCTTCACAGAAAAATGTGTAACTTTTTCCCAGCAAGCAATTTGTTTCAGATCTAAGATTTTTGTTGGGAACAGGTTAAATATCTCTGTCCAAACATGTTTTCTGGGCTTTTTTTAAACATATTTTACAACCACATGCAGTAGTTTAACTGTGAAATTGTTTATTACTTCCACCTGGAAATAGGTTTTAAATACCGCAATGAGTTTGCCTAGGCTGAGGGGCAGACGCGTTTGCTCTCTGAAAGCAGTATTACTAGTTTGAAATTAAATGCATTCTTTAGCAGGATGTAAAAGTATAACCTTATTTGTTTATTGATTTTAGTATGAACCAAATCCATTCATCTTTCTTAAAAGGAAAAAGGAGCCCAGGAAGTAGTTGAGGGAGGGAAGGGCTCACAGAAAATGTGTCCCGAGTGCTCGCAGGCTCACCCTAAGAAAACTTAACAGTCCCAGCCTTGACTTAAGAAATCCTGAGGTGAAACACTGCAAGAGGAGTAAGCACCAGGGACTGAGTTATTTGCAGATATCTCTTGGGGAGCTATGGACGTGGAGCAGCAGGGTTATCTTAAGCAAAATGCTGGAGGGAGGAGTGAGGTGACTGACTTCGGACCTCTGTCCTGGGCTGGGGTGTTTGGAATGCTAATAATGTCTTTTTTCCTTTCCTTTTTTTTTTTTTTTTTCTTTTCTTTTTTTTTTTTTTTTTTTCCTTTTCAACTTGATCATCACTTTTGATAAGAAGTCAATATTCACTATCTTTGATTTTTGTCTGAGATTCTAGCATTAGCCACCAAGCCCTTTTTTTATCTCCTATTGTTTGCTTTATTTAAAGATTAACAGCATGGTGTTAGGTTTTGGTTTCTGTTTTGTCTACTCCCATGCAAAAAGCTTACATGAGCAAGGCACAGACTTTTCTGAATTAAATGTGGAAGCTATTTTGCGAAGAAATTCTTGAAAAGAAACTGAGGGGAAAATGGATGGATTTCTCTTCCTTTAATATTACTTGTAGTCTCATAGTGAGATGTGTTCATGAAGCACATCTAATTAAGTTTAGATTTTTTAGGTTCATGGTCCCAAAGGACAAACAAAATATGCTCTCAAGGAAAGCGTATTGCTTCACTTTGCCAACTAAAATGCTGAAATGCCTTATGCTCTCCCTCTGTATTTTTACCAGCTTGTAAGAGTTAGCAATTTCTTTTAGGGTTGTGAGGCATATACTGAGGATTAACTGTTTCCTTCGCTTTTCTTTTTTCAGAATGTGTGCTTTATTACACCACAATTTTTATATCAGTTCTTCTGTTTGTTTTCACAACAAGTAAGTACTGGATGCCTTACATCTTGGTAAATGTGTATGAAACACTCAGGATAAATAATAAAAAAAAAAAAAAAGAAAGAACTACACAGAAGCAGCACAGATTTTACACTTAAATATCCAGCTTCATTTTCTCTATTTGATAGCCTGATATTACTAGATGGTTATGAGTACAGCTTTTTTCTAACTAGTAAATTTACGTAATTAATGATTCATTGCTGCTATTAGTATGCTAATAAATTTTAATAAATATAAGCAACTTCTTTCTACAAGACTCAAAATCTTTTTTTGTATCTATTTTCAGACGCTGTATGACAGTGTATACCTGACTTTGTACAATATTTGTTTCACTTCCCTGCCTGTCCTCATATACAGTCTTTTTGAACAGCATGTGCATCCGCATGTACTACAGAGTAAGCCTGTGCTGTATCGGTATGTATATCTTAGATATATTGTCACAGTAGCACATAGTTTAGAACAACAGTGGCATCTGCAGAAGTCTGAACTTGCTATTGCGCATTCCTACAGTATTTTTATCTGTAATTTATGCCATTTTTAGTAACTATCTTGATGAGGAAGAACTGCAGCTACATAAATTTTCATTCTAAAAGTTAATTAGCATGAGTGTTTTAAGAGAAGCATCTTTTCATGTCAGTCATGTAAGACTGGAAGAGAGTTGAGCACTTGGTCAGCTCACATGATTGGCAGCCTTCTCCTCCATTACATGTAGGAGGTGAAAATCACTCAGACAGGCAAATGAAAAAACTAGGACACTGGTTAGGTGAATCACCACCAAAAAATGCTTTACTAAGAGGGGAAATGATTTCCTGTAGAATTAGGTGTCTTCCCAGTGGTAGCGTGTTGCACTGCATACTGCTTTTTGGACAAAAGAGAGTTACGTATTTTTGTAAAAGAGATCTCTCTTAGATGTTTCTCTTCCTGAAGGTCTTAAGGGGCAAGCATCAGGAGACCTGGCTTTTTCATCCTCTTGCAATTCTATCTCCAGGGGGAAGAATTCTAGTTTGTGCTATTCTGAATTTGACCCATTAGAGACCCTTGCCATTGGTGATCCCTGCATAAAGCAGAGGCAAATCATGAGAGCTCAGATTTCTTTTTTTGCCTGTGATTTATGTATTTTTTTCATATGTCAGCATTCGTTAAATCTAACTTGGTGCAGTTGAAAGTTACATTTATTCAGAGCAGTAGCGGTCGTGCAATGTGAATAGCTGATGGGTTATATAAAGACAATCTGTTTTATTTCTGCAGAGACATCAGTAAAAATGCCCATCTGGGGTTCAAACCATTTCTTTACTGGACCATCTTGGGCTTCTTTCATGCGTTTGTTTTCTTTTATGGCTCGTATCTTCTAATGGGAGAAGACACTTCTCTGCTGGGAAATGGCCAGGTACAATATAATAGAAATTATTCTACCACTGTATTTTTGGTGATATTTCTTAATGTTTTTTTCAAAAATCCTCTTGTGTCAGAAAAATCTAAGATTTTTTTATTTTTATAAGCTACATAATTACCAAAGATGCTTTGCCAATGTTCATGTGTGCTCTCAAGAATAGCATTTCTTAGTGTGGAAACTGTAAGACATGTTGTCAGGAAGCATATGTCCATGAAGAACTTATCTTTCAAATAATAAATATATCATGATTGCCTTAAACTTTATTTTGTGTACTGTTTTTGTCAAAATCATATGTCATAACTTTTTTAAAAATTAAGTGGTGCAAACTGCTTTTAAATTTTTGTACAATAGATGTTTTTAAGACAATAACGATGAAATCATCAAATGCTAATTTGATACTTTCTATTTTAAAGATGTTAAAGTGCATAGGAAAAATCATATACAAAAAAACCTCTAAAGCTTGGATGAAACCATTACAAGTCTGCTTCCTCATTTTCCCTGGTTCTGAGTTAGTTAACCCAATTTAGAGCAATTAGATACTGATTTTTCTCATAAAACTGTTACAGGTAGCAATGCAAAAATACGTTTGCTTCTCAATATGGCATTCTTACTACTGACATGAAGTGCTTACTGGTTCTTGTGTAGTGCTTGGTAGAGTTGCAACTTAAGGCACAAGGTACAAAAATAGCATCGTGCTGTATTCACGGAGGTGACCTGGTGATAGGGAGTAGGCCTGAGCTCAGGTAGTTTAGCCAAAAAAAAAAAGGGGTTCCATGTAATGATGTACAGACAATGGCCAGAATTGTCTTGAGTGACTAAAATCAGAGAGCATGTGAGCTGGTGGTTAACATCCCTTCGGAGAAGAGAGCCAGTAAAGGGGGATTGATGCAACTAGCTGGAGTACTTATTTCATCATGAGATGCTTGATAAGAATGTTAAAATAGTTGTGCTGCAGGATAACAAGTCTCTTACAGCTGAAGTGTGAGTGGGACCTCTCTTGCCGTTTGTTACAAGCTGTATGACTTTAAAGTTCTTGTGACTTGGTAAAGGACCTTCAGTATTCTTTTAATGAAGTAGTTTTATGCTATGAATTAGCGTGTTTCTGTGCATCTGTCTTGGTTGTCAAAGCACCTCACTTTAACATTGCTTAGTAAAAGTCCACGAGGCAGGAAGAGACTTTTTTCACTGTATTTAGTTATATGTTTAGTTTGGGGAACAGATTATATTCTGTAAGTCTAGACCAGTGTGTTAATGTAGACTTTATGGAGAAAGTTCTTTTAATGGTGTCTTGTATAAATTAACCTCAAGGTTTTTTAAATATACTTAGTGATTGAGCATACTGGAAATAAAAGCTTTCAGATGCTCTTTGGCTTCTCGTGTTTCTGTAATGTGACTTAAAAAGTCTTAGAATTTATTTGGAGTTACCCTCTACCTCTCTGTGTTTGCTGAAAGATGGTTATTGGACCTGGTAGAACTGTGTGTCGCAGTAAAATACCTGCAGTGCATAAAGTATGTTGTGAATTTAATGTGTGCCTGAAAAAGCCAAAGTTAAGGGCAAGAGAAACTCATGTACTGCTGAAGTGCTTTCTTGTGAGAAGTCCTCAAGAAGTCATCACTTGGTGCGAACGTGTGATACAGGGTCGTGTTAGTGCAAGGCCTCAGGTTTTCATCCCAAGTTCTCAGTTTGGAGCAAAGTGGAATTAGAAGAGATTGTAAATAATTTGTTAATGCTGGTGGTTTGTTAGGTTTACCTCAACACCTTGATCTTTTAGTTCTTTTTTTCTCCCCCCTTTTTCATGCTGTGCATGTCGCCAGATATTGAAACCTAACAGGCAAATGGTAAGAGTTTAGAAGAGGAGAGATACAAAATATTGTATCTGTTACTTCACAGGACTAAAGGATGCAGCATCCGCAGTGTAAACGTGTTCAAAAATAAAATGGTGGCAAGAACTTCTTGTTCATGTTTTGCATTCTAACTCTGTGACCTTCGAGAGCAGTGTTAGCAAAGACACTTTCTTTCACGGGTCACTCAGGAGCAGTAGTCTAATTTTACTTTAAGGTTATTATTGCAGCAGTTAACAAGCATGTGGCTTGTTAAACGTTACCATCGGTGTGAGAAGAAAATAGAAGGCTTCAGAAGACGTGTTATAACAAAGATCTTTAAAATTATCAGTAAATCCTGACTCATGGCTGCCTTAATTTTGTACCTCGTGTAAAGATGAGAAAAGCAGTTGTGAGATCTATCATCAGGCTATTGGGATTTATTTTTTTGGTCAGAGCTCTGTAACAAGGACTACAACTGTGCGAATCCCAGTTCCTTGCCTCTGTTCTGTACTAACAAATCAACTCTAGGATGACTGCCTGTCTGCATGTGATACTTTTCTCCTTGCTCGCTTAGTTTGCTACCAGTAAGTAGAGAGTTGAGGGTTAGGTCATTGTTCAGTGTGTCAGTGGCAAAAATAGCTACGAAACACCAACGTCTTCAGTTTCAGCACCCAGACTGCTTACAAGAGCAGAGCAGTTAGACCTGTTGTAGAGTGGCAGCGTGTGTCTGAGTAGCATGTGTGTAGATGGATAGATTACAAACTCAGCGCTCCTGCTTGGTTGTCAGAGCTGAGATTTTATTGTTGTAGAACTTGTTCAGAGTTTTGATGGTTTAATTTATATGTACAAGACCACACAAAAGTGACAGATACAGCATTTTAGAATTGAAGCTTAATTTTGTGTTTAGTAGCCTTGAAACAAAGTGTCTTTTCCTTAGAATTTTCTTTGAAAAATAAAATGACACCATTATTTTTGAATTGTAAAATTGTGCTTGGGGTAAAAAGTGAAATTTCAGGTGATGCTGCATGTTGAAAATGATCTGGAAATGTTTAAGCTCAAAGTGCGAATACCTTCCACTCAATACTTGCTTTCTGTTGGATGCTTATACTTAACTGATACCTTCATTTTCCTATCATTTCATGTTACTGTTTAAGACTTTATTCATATTTCATGTAGCCTTTGTGGTGATTTGTTTTGAATCAAGAAGAAAGATGACTTGTGGGTGGTTAATTTTGCTCTTATAAGCTGTATTTTTTCTAGTAGTTTGTGTTGTATCCTTCTTGCTTTTTCACAATGATTAGTTGCTACAAGCTTATGTCCACAGACTTGTTTCATTACTGTAGCTGACTTGAGAAGAATCTAGCTTACCATGAATGCTCTTAACTGATTTTTTTTTTTTTTCTTTTGGTTCCATGATTTTTACCTTGCTGTTTTCTTAGATGTTTGGGAACTGGACATTTGGTACTTTGGTCTTCACCGTTATGGTTATAACTGTTACGATGAAGGTATGATACCATACTAATCAGTCTCTCTGTTTGGGTATATAAGTAAATATGTAATAGAGCAATAATTTAAAATTGATCGAAAGTTGTACAGAAGTAATTGATTCTTGAGGATTCCAGATAAGTGATTGTTATCTTTGGTTTCAGTGGTGGTTAAAATTTTTCTTTGTAGTTTTTGCATGCTACAACAATATTTAGTGTTTGAGGTGGAAGTTCATAAGTACATTCAGACTGGTATTTATCATTTTCTGTGAAGTGGGGGGGAAAAGGAAGTTCATTGAAGTTGTCTTTGTTTTAGATGGCACTAGAAACTCACTTCTGGACATGGATAAACCATTTTGTTACTTGGGGATCCATTGTATTTTATTTCATATTCTCCTTGTTTTATGGGGGAATTATCTGGTGAGTGATTCCTTTTTTTTTTTTTTTTCCCCCCCTCTCCTTTCTATAGCATATATGATAGATGAAGCCGTGAAAAAAACACTGAAGTATTGATTTCTGCCATCTTACTCTGAATTTTGTGACAGGTGTTGGAAAATAAATTTTTAAACCTAGAGGGGCCACTCACTTTTGGAGATTCTTTTAGGAATTTGAGCAATGATGCTAAGCTGTCCCGTGTTTAAGGACAGGCATTGCTTGTCTCTGACAGCCTGTGACTGTAAAGGCATTTTTGTTTTCAAAAAGTTCCCAGAGGTGCTATGTAACAGGTAAATGTTTGCAACAGAAATGAAGACACGGGTTAGAATCAGCGAAGTGATATATTTTTGCTTGTATTTTGGGGTCTTGGAGGGATAGGATGGTGAATGATTTTCCACAACACCATTTAAAACTAAACCAGAACGTTTCCCTCCAAAGTTCAGTACTCTCCTTCCCTAGAGTTTGCAGGTCAGGTCCACCAGGTTGCTAGACTGCTTCACGGACGCCATGCAGTTGTAACTGCATCCCGAGAGACTTGCTGATTGATGTAAATTGAGACACACATGAGCCTGCCTGTGCTGTACTTTTGCTTCTAGAAGTTCCTTTTAGTAATTACCACTTCTTTTAACTTTTCAGGCCATTTTTACATACCCAGGACATGTATTTTGTGTTTGTTCAACTGTTGTCAAGTGGTTCTGCTTGGTTTGCCATAATCCTCATAGTAGTTGCTTGTTTGTTCATTGATGTTGTGAAGAAAGTGCTGTACAGACACCTACAACCAACAAGTACTGAAAAAGCTCAGGTAATGTTATGCTTTTGTATCCAACTCGATCAGTAGTTAAAAGAACACATTTGTTAATATCTGTCTCGTAAACTAATTACTTTCCTGTGATATTTAATTATCCTATTACATTGCTGTCATGCTTAATGCATAAAATGTTCTCATTTCAAAATATAATTGTTAATGTACAATTACAAAACTGAGGACACCATTTTACAAGGAAATAACATTTAAGTAATTGATATTAACAATAGTAGAATTATTTATAAAGGGTTCACTCAGTCTTTTGCATCTCAGCCTGCAACAGTATGAGAGGATCATACTACGCATTTTTGAACTGCTTTAAAGAGAGTAACTTACTCTAATTTTTGTCTAGGTATTAGAAGCTTTCTCTTCGACTGTAGTTGGCACTGAATAGTTCTTAAGATGTGATGAAAACAATAATTTTTAAAATTACTTTAGTAGGACTTGTTTTAAATAGTATTTCTTAAATCTTGATCATGTCATATATATGTCATGTATTTGACTGCTGATTATGTAATTAAAGATAATTACCCATGTGGCATTTTCATAAATTCATAGAAGAGATCTGAAGATATGCTGTGATAATAGAATCTCCCTCTTGCCTCACACAGGCTACAAAAAATCCTTGAAAACATTCTGTTGAAATTAGGCTCTCTTAGGTAAATCTCTCATCTATGTTTCAGTGTTTTCTTTTTAGTGACAGTTATGGAGAAGTCATCCTGACCCATTGTTCTAATAGTTACTATCCCTGGTTTCAGTTTTGAATATTTTAGCTTTTTATCCTTTTTCTGCTAAACTGAAAAGCCTTCTATTAACAGTTTTTTGTTTTATTCACAGTTAGGTTTGTGGTCGAGTTAGTTTTCTCACTGATAAGTAGATTGAACTTGCATCTTTTGTCTGAAAGGTTGTTTTCTAGTCTTTTAATCATTCTTGTGTTTCTCCTGTAATCTTCATCATTCCTCAGCCTCTTCTTGAATTTCGGGTTACACCAGTGGACGCAATGTTCCAGCACGGCATACATCAATGCCAAGTACGGAAATAGTGAATCCCCAGCTGTATTCAGTTTGCAAAATGATACACATCAGTAACCTGTCATCTTCTGCATCTTCTTCTCATCTGCAAGTGATTATGTTGGTTTCTTCCAGGTCATCGATAAGAGGTCAGATAGCATAGGGCCAACAGAAATGTGAAAGTGAATGAGGACTCCGCTTGACAGAGATAGCCCATATACAGTTATGTTCTGAATCCTGTTAGAGCTTTTTAGTCCATTTGCGTGCCATATTGATTCTGTGGTGTCCTAGATGCTTAATCCAAATTACACTGAGCTATGTGCCGTACAGAGCTCTTAACTGCATTACATCAATAGTGTTACCTTTAGCATCTAGCCATTACTTTGATGTAAGTGCGTGTTGATTTATTTACCCTTCTAGTTTGTGTGTTAAAAAAAATCCTTGTGAGATATTCTCTTAATTTGCCTAGGATCAATATCATGCTGACAAACCTATTGTTAGCCAAAGTATCCCATTAGTGCCTTCTCAAAACTGGAATAGTGGAATATTAGGAACTTTTTCAAATCTTGGAATTTAGTAGTTAAAAGCCAAGGTAAATAACCACTAGCTTTCAGAAAACTGTTCCACTAGACCTGATAAGACTTTTGATTGCATGTTACTGCACTTTTTGGATTAAAGAGTCTTGATGTAGGAAAAATTCTATAGGTAATGGTACTTATCTTTTTTTTTTCTTCAAAAAACTGTGGCAATATCTATCAAACACTTCCCTTTCCTTCCTTCCTGTACATCAGCTCTTTCTCTTTGGCAGTGTATTGGTGTGGTCGTTGAGGTTTCTCATGTTCCTAAAGTGCTTGAATTAAAAACTAAAAAGCCCGCATCATTTTTCTGTAGCTTTATCCATATACTTCTTGTTGCATTCTCTTGCTTTCTGAATCAATTCTAAAGAATTTCAGGGTTCAGTTTGCTTCCATTACAGTTGTATCATCAAGGACACAGTCAGACTTCTTATTTTTAAGAGGAATGTTGATGAATGTCTGGCACCTTTCCTGTGGCTATAGCTTGTTTCATAGCCATGGGGATTTTGCTTTGAGCATCTCTTATTGATCCTTTTTTTTTTTTTTTTTTCCCCTTATTCCCATTCTACTTTGCCATTTGACAGAGTTAGCATTAGGGTCTGTGTTTACCAAAATACTGTCTTTTTCTGAAAACAATTCCTAATACTGCAAAGTTCAAGTAGCTAAAGCCTGATTTGACCACAAATGCTTCAGCAGCCATTCAGTGGTTTCTCTGTGTGTGTCTGATAGTGAAATCATAGTTAAAAATGTATCTGCAAAAAGGCGGCACCTGTCTGTTCCTTTCTTGAGGTTTAATCTGTTGAGATTTTCCCACTCTTGCTTTCAATAGGACCATCAGCCCCGCTGCATTTCATCGGCTATTCTTGTAGTGAGGAAGTAGTCTGAAGATGAACGAACAATCAACTTAGCACATTTACTGTCTAGAAGAGACAGAATGCTGCTTTCATGGTTATACCTCCTTAGATTTGTTTAAAATTTCTGGTAAATATTTTTCTTTCCACTTCAAAGCAGAGGAAAGGACTCTGACTTTCAAGATAGAATGAGTTTGGAGGATGTGTTGGTCGTAAACTCTTAAGGAATTTTCTGTGGTAGTCATTGGAAGAGTAAATATGGAACTCTGTATATTACTCTTTTAAATGCCTTTTTCATAGTGTAGGTGCACCCTCTGTATGACTGAATATTTTTAATTATTCATTTTTAATTGTAGGCCTAAATTAGTATATTTGGGGAAAGAAGTTTACAGTTACTAGTTTTTATCAGGGCAAGATAAATTGTTATGTGAACTAATCACTGATTTATAAATGGCAGCTATTTAAGTTATTTGGTTTTGTCTCCAATCGTTTAAATTCTAAAATATTCCCAGGAGCAGTGAGCAAAACACAGGTTTCTCAACTGAAAATGCTTGCTCCTATTGTTTTAATTTTTCAGAAACTGAGAGCACACTAGTTGTGAGGGTTACCCAACTTAGTGCTCTGAATTCACTATATCTGTAGGCATCTGCCTTACTCTACTTAGTATATCAAGAACTTGATTTTATATCTCTCATTTGTATATCATAAGGTCATAATATCAACAGTTAATCTGTCTCCCATCAGTTAGATGTTACAAATAGCTAGGTTATTCATAAGAGAGCAAAGAAATTTAACTGGTATGAAACACTTGAGAAATCCTGCTAAAGATAAACTTTTAAATGTAAATATTTTCCTGTCACAACTTTAAAAAGTCTGTTCCATTTTGGGAAGTCAGCATCTTAAAAATTTGACAGGCGAGCATCAGTTGTCTTTTACAGAGGGGTGAATTTAGTTAACTTTACCTACCTTAATGCACTTAGGGTGCCTGTATGTAAAAAAAAAAATTTTTTTTTTTTTTTTTGTGGCCTTAAACAAAATCAATCTTATTGTGTTTGACTTGAGTCAGTTGCCCTGAAGCAGTTTCTGGGTACTTTCTGACTATAGGTCTGTTACAGAATCATACAAGAGGAAGTGGACAATAAGGTAAATCTGAATCAAAATATAAATCTTTGGGTAAATATAAATCACAGCACTACTGAGAGGAGAAGGTAATACTGAATAAAGGTGCCTGGTGAAGTACAGATGTAAAAGTGTATAGGCCTTTTTTCTCAGTATGAAAGCTAAGGTACACTTAAGAATGGTCCTACCAACCAGTAACTGGCTGTGGTGATCCCAGGAGCTGTCCTGAAGGTACCAGGCTTCTGTTCTGTATATGCTGTGTATTCCACTTAAATAACAATGTCTTGTCCTGTGTCTTTCTCTAAGAAAATTACTGCTGCTACTTACTGACATGTATGTTCCATCCCTTCTCTGTCCAATTGTAGATGTACTCCAACAGAGTTGCTTTAAGTGACGAGTTCATCGCACTGCAGCCATTGTCCAGGGCAAGGAATCAGCTGAGCAAAATTAGGTAGAGTAGGAGGGACAGTTCCTTATCAACTCTTATGCATGCTGAAGGTGAACTAACCAGTGCTGAGAGAGATGGGAAGAGGCATGAATATTAGTGGGTTGAGAGGGCAATACCTGTAGTGCAGATACATTCAGTTTGGTTATTTCTTGGCTTTGCTCTGTGTTTGAGCCAAATGCTTCTCCTAAGTAGCATGTGTTGGACGTGCTTTTTTTAGGAAAAAACATCCCTAGCATGATGCTCAACTTTCAGAATACAGATCTAGCTCTTCTTGCATCCATTTTTAAATAATCACAGTTTCTAGCATGGTTATAATGCTTTTAATTTCTTTATGATCAAAATTAACAGTGCTTTTTGCATGTTGGATAATTTGAGCTTCATAAGGCCGTGACAGGAAGGTCCATGTGTTTCAGGCAGTAATTTCTTGCAAGACGTTTGCCCATTTTAATTTGCTTTCACTTGTGTTGAAAGAGCAGAAAACGTTTACGTTTGGAAGCATACGTACACTTGTGCAGCTAAGGCTTGTTGTGTTTGTTTTGTGCTTCTATAAAGTGAGTGTTGTTTGTTTTCAATGTGTATAGATACATATTCCGAAAGGCATTTGGCTACAAAGTCTGAGAAAATGATTCAAAAAAAAGACCAAAGCGTACATGTGTCTGTGTAGATGAGCCATTATGATTCTGAAACTCTTCAAATGCACTGAGTTCAGTACACGAAATGCTATCCAATGCTGATTCTGTTTTGTAAGACTGAAACATTCATATGCTTCAATAATGTCTCAACCTGTTTGATGTTTTATCCCACCCTTATCTACTTCTGTATTCTATAGCACAAATTAATGCAAAGACCTGATTCCTTTGAAATTTTTTTAAGATTACTATGTTGTTTAAAAACATCCAAATAGGTGCTGGGAGAACCAACCAACCTACGTTTTTGTAACTTAATTGCTGTTTGTTTAACTGAGGGGAAAGTAGGAGACAGGAAAGTGACATGA